TTTATATTGTAATAGATAATATACTATAATTAGAAATGATAATATACTATATTATATATTATAATTATAATATGTTATATTATATTATATTTTTATAATTATAATATAAGATTAGAGGACGATCGGATCTGGAGAAATTTTGTTCGTCGACTTCTGATATTTCCTTTTCCTTTTTTTTCCTTTTGGGGTTATATAGATATTTCTTTTGACTTCTGGGATCATTTAGGTTTTTCTGATGGCATCTATAATTTTTCTCAGCCAGAGTCCTCACTTAGAAATTCAGGCGGCAATTACAAGTATATTCCCATCCACAGAGATGTCACCACATTAGCCTCTTCTCTAGCTATGTTCAAATAGTCTTTTTGCTAGATTTTGGGGTTTGTGAAAATGTTCGAGTTAGGCCCTTTGTCGATTCTTTAGAAAGTGGGCCTTTTAAACAATCGGCCCACCACAATTTCTAAGACCTGTTAGACCTTAGAAGTTAGAGAAAAGTTTGGAGAAAGGTGACAAATATTTATGGGGACCTTTACTCTTAACTAATATTTTTGAGATAATTAACCTCTTATGACTTTTAAATGTTGATCAACTTATGCTAGTGCTCTATAAACTATTAATTTTTTTGCACGACTTTAAATACCCTCAAAATAAGTTTCACTCCTCGTCCTCCAATACGTGCTCCTCATTTTTTTCTTACTTTCACATTGCTCCTCTCTTTTTTTTTTTTTAATCTTTTTCATTTCTTTCTAACTCCATTCTTTATCTTTTATTTTGTTTCTTTATATTTTAACTTTTTTCTTTCATCTTTTTTAATTCCATTTATCCATGAGTAACCCTTACGAATAGAATTTTACCCTTCTATCTTTCCGCTTTTTTTCCTTTTTGGCATTATTTATCTATCATAGTCACATACACTAATATTATTCTCTTTTTCTTTTTTGGTTCCTCTTTTACTCTCATTCTCTCTCTTAGATTTCTTGAAACTTAAATCTAAATTTTCTCATCAAAATAATCTCCTTATTTGTGTCGTGTCTTCTTATTTTGTTATCCTATAATTTATAATGTTTTATCAATTTTATCATATAAGCTTTTCACTTAGACTATTATATATATAATTTTTTTGAAATTCTCAATAAATTTTTAGATTATTCTCACTGGTGGCCTTAAATTTTAAGGTCATTTTCAGTTTGTCCCTTAAATTTTAAAAACTCACTTTGCCCCCCTAAACTTTGAATTGTTCTCACTTAATCCCTTTTATTGTAATTTATGTAAAAATCAGACGGAAAAAGAAGACGTTGAGTGTGATCATGTGGTTTTTATTTATTTTCTTTTAACATAAATCTAAACAAAAAGACAACGTAAGTGCGTTATTCTCTTTTTTTTATTTATTTTTAACAAAAATCGTAATAGAAGGGGTTAATGGAAACAATTCAAAATTTAGGGGGCAAAGTGAGAGTTTTTAGAGTTCATGAAGCAAATTGAAAATTACCTTAAAGTTCAGGGATGTCCGTGATAATAATCCTAAATTTTTTTATATATTTTGATTTTTATATCCTACGTTGTTAAAATTTTAATTACAACTCAATGCGTGCATCACACTAATTGGACCAGTAAATAAATAAATAAATTCAGAAGATAGGGAACAAGAAAAAATACAGGATAAACTTTAGAAGCAGACCAGGTATTCCACGCATATTAAGCAATAGAGTACTGGTGCTTCTGAACATACCCTTCGCCTTTCATAGTTTTAGTAGAATAAGAAACTGCAAAAATATGCAATATAAAGAAACATTGGATCTTTTTATCTTTTTATTGAAAATGAGAAAATGCACGTTGTCTGTTGCTGCACGTTGTCTGTTGCTGCAAATTCATTCTGCTGCAAATTCATTCTGACACCATAACTCTTGAAAAAAAGAAAAAAAAAATCTTAACGTTCTAAGCAAGGAAGATAAAATAAATTAAGCAATTTGTGATTTTCTTTTAAAAACAGGCTGGCAAGAAAGATAAAATCCAAGCTGAATCGAGACCCCTCTCAAAAGAATGTACAAACGAGAAAACTACATTTTTTAACTGCTAATCTCTCTATCGAATTTCGGTCTCTTTGCACTCTGCATCTCAGGCACGGAACTCCCCCGCTGCTGGAATGATGCATCATGCTGATATGCACAATTGGCTCCATGTCGGCAACCCCTTGAACTATTAAAGTATATGCAAGGTTTCATTATCTTAGGCTTCGACTCTCTCGGCTTGTGGCCGTTTACTGGTTCCTGATTTGGTACCGGTTGGTGGCAATAGCGGTTGCCATATTGTGAAAGGGCCTCTTGCCTCTCTCCTCCATGTTGCTGAATCAAGCTCTTGTAGTAACTCATGTCTTTTGGTGGAGCAGCTACATGAGAAGGCGGGCAGGGAACGGAAATAGACGGGGGAGGAGGAACCCGGGAATTAGGAAGGTGTCCCATTGCAGCCCCATTTGGCTGGGGATAGAGAGGTCCATTTGATACAGCAGCTGACATAGGTATGCTGGAGGGTGTCCTAATAACCTGGGCAGGTGGTGGCTCTGAAATGGCCACAGATGGTGATCTTGATGTGGTTGTGTTCTGTGTGTTGTTAGTGGTGGTGGCTCCATAATCGGTCACCAATTTCTCAACCATCTTTGGGTTGCTAAGAATTTTAATAAGCAATTCATGGTCAATCAAGTTCCCACGCTCATTATTGTTGGCAAGTTCGGTCAAGGCAGCAGCAAGAAAACCAGGTTCTGCACTAAGAGCCGTTCCAGCCGCCTGCCTCTCAGGGACAGGAAGATTTGCCATGTTCATTGCACTGTGTTGCGATGAAGATGGAACTCCAATGGGTTGTTGAAGGGACTGTGAGCTTATGGGAAGATCATATTGCGCCATAGGTTCAGACGATGTATCTGTTGCTACATCTTCGTCTTCAATGGGAGTAATGGGTATCGATGGAGTTTGCCCATCATCATAGCGAGAATCTTCCACATTCAACATACCTGAGGGACTGGGTAGAAAAAGAAAAAATGTTACAGTTCAAGGAAACATCAAAAACCCAAGATCAAGAATTGTAGTAAGCCAAGAATCAAACTTTGGTGGAATTGCAGATGGGCGTGGATAAACTGCTTCAAGTACTCTCATCTCCCTCTGATTCTGAATTCCAGCCTCTTCGCTTTCATCCCCGGCAACAACTTGCCAGGTCAAGTCGAGCACGAACTGTTAGAGGGAAGATAACCAAAACGGAAGAGCAGATTGTGTTAAAATCAAATTTAAAATGCATTTTATTTTCATATCCATAGATTTAAACTGCATGCTGAATGGGTGACATAGAAAAGTAAATCCCAAAGTATGAGTTACCCTTGGAGGACATCTCCATTTGATGGTAGGAATTTGGGACAATTTGGTTTGTAACAGATTTGCAGGATGAGATCCTTCGAATCCAGGAGGCAGAACATCATCAGAGCCTGTTCCTGTTGAATGTGATAGCCATGATGTCTTCGCTTGAAGATGATCTTGAGAATCTAATCCGACTTGTGAAGGAGATTCTTCTGATAGAAACAGCCTAACCTGTGTAAGGGTGAAATGTTAGTTCCGACAGTTAATGGCTAGATTCTGTTGGATGATAATCCTCAATCCTTGAAGGACTTTGGAAACTCAAGGACCGTAGCTTTGGTAAACATGAATAATTATGCGTGCATGTATGAAATTTTGACTTTTAAAATAAACCTCATTTTATATATAGTAAATATCTGAAATTAACTTATATTGTAAAATGGAGAAATCAAATAAAGTAGCAACAAATATAGACAAAAGCCCAAAGATCAAAGAAAAGATTCCAATGAAATTTGGAAGAAGGCAAACATGTAAATAGGTACTCCTATTATATCTGCCAGTAAAACTATTCCAAGAAATAAATTCACTTGAAACCAATTTTCATAGCAAACAAATTGCATACCAATACGGGTTTACAATATGATTACAACCAAATCATCAAGTTTGTTGGTCACAGAAAACAAAGACGTAGCCTATAGAAGAAGAGTATAAACTTGAAACACTGAAGAGGAAACTAATACACAGTCACAGAAAACAAAGACGTAACTGGGAGTTTAATATGGGTGTGACTGGTGCATATTCCAAGTCTTTTGCAAACTTTCATACAAACAAATTTTTCCAATGCCATAAATAAGCCATAATCGTTTTAGGTAGCATATAATAAATAAAAATGGATGTAATAGTACAAAGCTCTTAAACATCCATCAAATAGATGGCACCCTTAAAAGAACCCTAAGCACTACCTCTCTCCCTCTCATGAAAGTATATCTAACATCTTTTCCAACCAAAGAAACTCATTCAAAATGAGTTTACTTCTTCCCTTTAAGGCCACTTATCCAGCATACATCCAGATTGTAACTAATTGACACAGTTATTTTTCTGATGATACTTTCACAAATACTCACTAAATCTGTGAATATTGTCATGAAAAGGCTTTGTTTCAAGGATGTCTTCACTGCTGAAAATTGTGTACATGATAAGGCATCTTGTATCTTCTCATATACAGTAGCTTATTGCTTAAACGGGTTTTTCTCAACCAGTGGCAGCAAGTTTACGGACACTTTTTACATTGCATCAACTACCTAGACTTTCGACATAGCATCAAAGGACAATGTTTTATGGCTAACCACATTCCTAGCATAGATCCACTTCCTCAAGTTCCAAATCTATATCCATTATATTTTCAGCAAAAACTCTGTATCCATCATCTACTAAATCACCCATAAAGGCCTTAACTTTTACCATTTAGACGCTATATACTAAAACCACATCTCAATTACAAAATCATTCTAATTCATATCAGCTATTCTCCACGAGTTGAAACTGTTATCCGAGCATAAGAGCTTCACTTAATAATTAAATTGCTGCTTTTGTATGTTTTTGTTGTCTCTAAAGCAATGCTAAAAAAAGCAAAACAAAATTGAGAATTGAACTAATTGATTCCTATGCTATACTTCCATAACCAAGATAAAAAACGACTATACATATATTTGATATCACATAATGCAATGCCATAGAAAGAACCAATAACCATACAGCTCAGTAATTCAAAGTTTTTAGAAAAACTATATCCAAATACAAACAGAGTGAGGGCACAAAACTAAATTCTCAACCGAAAGAAAAAAGGAGCTCAAAAAATCAAACAAAGAAGCAGCAATACAGTTTGAAATCACTGAATCAACCAAAGGTTAAGCCAAAGATCCAAAATTGTTTAGAGAATAAAATGACACAAAAAAAATGTTCAGACAATAAACGCCAATCATCATCATCCCAAAAGAAATCGAAGTTCACAGAGCTGAGCTGATTGATTCTCTTTTTTTTTTTTTCCTTCGAAGTTCTTAGACAGGAAGAACTTCATTTCTCTTCAGATTCGGTTATTGGCAATCGAAATTATCGTTAATTAATCTGTTATTAATTATTACCTGACAAAGGTTAACATCTGAAGCCCAAGAGACCCTTTTCGATTTGTGCGATTCCCGCATATTTACCGAACCAATAAAAAAAATAATTCACGAACAACAACAACAACAACAAAATCACTTCGTTCTCCAATTCCTGGGATTAGATTTACAGGTCCGATCAAACCAATGTAAAGCCCTACTAACTAAGATTCGAAACCCTAATCTTTACTTCGTCCTCAATCAAATCCCTCAACAAAAACTTCTCCCAAATTCAGAAGCTTTACAGAATCGAATCAAATCGAATCGAATCGAATCGCGAAGACTCAGAAGACACCGATCGATGATGTTCATAGGCCAGAGGGCGCCACAGAGCCATCCAAGGAAACCCTACATATCCTCTGGTTTAGGCTCTCTCAGTTTTGTATATATCCCATAAATTTTTATTTTTCTTTTTCCTTTTTTAATTTTAATTATTATTTAATTTTAAATTTATTATTGCAAATTATTATAAGTACCAAATATTTCTCTTACTTTGCATCACGGTAGTTTCGGTTTCGTTGTTGTGCTTGGTTTTCGAGTAAGGGAGCGCGTGGGTGGACTGTTGAGAGGGTTTTGTTGAATGTACGCCTGGCGCGTGGTGAAATGCGACTGGAGTTAGTTTTCTCTTCCAGATAATGGCAATGCACATAGGTAAGGATTCGGAGTCCAGTTAAATAAGCCATGAGGTCATGCCTGGCTGCCACTTTTTCCCCCACGTGTGACGTGTCTACGCTTTCAACTTTTTACTGGTTAAGTCAGTTCTGTTCTTGTACGAAAAAAGAAAAAACAAATTTCCACAAAAAAGAAAAAAGAAAAAACAAATATATTAAAAATTGGGAGACTCCTACAGGGTATTAAAAAAAAAAATTTATTGGTACTACCTAAGTCTCAGCCGTTAAATTTTCATATCACAACTGAAATTTAAGTTTCAACTTTCAAAAACATAATTCTTATTATAAAAATTCTCCCATAATTGAAAAAACAATAACATAATAGCTATAAAAAAAAGAGAAATATTATTGACACCAAGATTTTATTAAAACACCCTAAGATGTTTAAAAACTAACATTATATAATTTTTAAAGTTAAATTCTCATATAATTTTAATAGTATTTTTATGTACACTCCATACTTATTTTTATCCCATTTTAAGATATGGTTTGTTAGAAAAGATTTACTTTTCTTTTATTTATAAGTGAAATTTGATTCTTTCTATTTAAATGTTTTTTTTCTTTTTTGAGTTTAAACGATCTTGTTTCTTTCATTCTTTTTTGCTATTTTCGTTTTGAATGACTTTAAAAATACTTTTTTTTTAAAAAAAATTTAATTACATACAATCCATTATCCAAATTTAAGCAAATTTCTCAACGCCTTCATCTCTTTCATCTTGCAAAAAATATAATTAAGAACAAAAAATCAAAACGAACTCTAAGAACAGCTTCAATAAAACACAATACGAACGAGAAAGAAAAGAACATGTATATGGAATATATAGTACAATAAAATGGTTAAAATCAAACCTTCCTTTAGTTTAAAACAAAAATCAAAATCAAGGGAAGAGAAAAAGAAGACTATATTTTTCCCCTACACCATGGTAGAGTCTGTATTGATGTTTTTTTTCTCTTTTTTTAGTCGTAGGTGGAATAAAGACGGTCATTCCGTTAGTATTAGTGTTTGTTTCAGCTCATCAATCTCTGGATCTATGTGAATTTTAGTTGTTTTTATTGATTTTGGTTATGTTCCCCTACCAAGCTCTAATATTGTGTGGATTTTGTTTGTTGGTCTTGCTTGTTTTCCTCCACTAGATCTGGGTGGGTCTAGTGTTGTTTTTCATCTTTTGTATGCCTTTAGTTAGATCTCTCACTTTAGCGAGCTTAATCTGAAAGAATAATGGCTTTTAAAGATTGATCTTCGCAGAGAGTTTGCTACAACCCATTTAGGAGAGCCAACTATGGAGGGAGAATTAAAAGAGTCCAGTGAAGTGCTTCAAATTGTGTTCATTATCGGACTTTAAATCCCTATACTAGGATGCTAACGGTTCTACCGATTTTGATTTGTTATATCAAATTTTATGTGTTGAGGTTTATGTAAGTTTTATGCATGCTTTATTGTTAATGAAATATTGTTTTGCATAAAAAAATATATAAAAAAAAACTTGACGAAAGGTTCTCATCTTGCTCCCTTACTTGGCGAACAATAAAAATTTTATTAGAGTTTAAGGAAAAAAGTTAGGAAGATGATTATATAATATTTTTAAAAAAAAAAAAAAAAAAAAAAAAAAAAAAAAAAAAAAAACTCAACACTTTTGTTTTTCAAGTTCATCCTTTACTTTTGAAATGTCAAGTTCATATTTTGAAAGGTCAAGTTCATACTCTACTTGAAGGAGAAATTATTCATTAACCATATGTCTCAAGTCATTCAAACCAGCAACAAACGATTTAAATGGAAAGTTTTTTTTTTTTTTTTTTTTTTTTTGTATATGTTCATATGGAAAGATTTAGTCAAAAAATAGAAAAGTAAATCTTCTTAACAAACAGATTTTGTCATGTAGAAAAATATGGGGTGTGCATAACGCTTTATGGAACTAGAGATTTTAATTTTAAAAAACATTTTTAATCTTTAAATATATTGGTTTGCCTTAATAAAAACTTAAAGTGTTAATAAAATTTCCCAAAAAAAAGTGTTTATAAAAAACGACCACTATTATACTGCACTTTTAGAATTTGATTTTAACTTAACAATATTATTAATTTGTCTATTTTATGGTTATTGAGATAATATTATTTTAAATATATATTTTTTTGTGTGGGTGGTTAACAAAGGGTTGGAATGTAACGGGTTATTTTACAGACTTATTTGTAAATACTACAATTTGTGGGCATTTATTTTTTTCAACTCATGCATAATGGATATATATATATATATGTAATTAACTCAAAAAAAAAGTCAGATTGCACCCCAAAAATTTATAAATACCCCCACTAATTGATACTCTGTTAATGAAAATTTTTAAAATCTATCCTTTTATAGATATTATTTTTACAATACCTAATTTAACCTCTTATTCCCCACACTAATTTTAATCTTCATTTAATTTATGGAAAACTATTCACCCTCTTGTATTTATATTATTTTGAAATAGTTTTATTTATAAGCTTGTTAGCTTAAGTTTTTCGTTTTTGTACTGATAATTCTTTTGACTCCTGCAACGACTTTGTGAAATCGTGCATACTACTACTAATACACAATGCTGCATTTTTTCAAACAATTATTATTCTTATATATACGTATGAGTTTTTTAATTTATCACCTATGTTTATGTTTGGTTTTTTTTAATCTTTATACAATAAATATGTCATCCTACAAATAATGAAGGATTAAAATTTATTGCATTTCTCTTTTGTTGAACGTTCTACAAAATTCCTCATCATTAAATAAAATTTTTAATTAAAAATAAATATTTATACTAATAATAAAACGTTATTCATTTGAAGAATGTTTGGAAGTATATATTATTTCAAATTGTTCTTAGTGGGGTACAGGTTTTTGTTTTATTTAAAAAAAAATATACTTTCTAATTATAGTTATGTGGGTGTATGTTTTTCTATTTTTTTAAAAAGCAATACTATTTCTATTTATGGTTAATAAATTATAATTTAGTGAGTGTATTAATAAATTTCGTGGGTGCAAATATAATTTTAAAGAGAAAATTGTAAAATTTGCCCTTAGCATAGTAGAAAAAATAGAGAATTTATTATTTAGAGAAAATAAGTCTAGATTTTTACTCTTCACTCTTGATAAATACCTTTTTGTTAGTGTAATTATTTGACTAAAAATGTTATAAATTAAGAGTAAAAAATAAAAATCATGACTCATGCACTTTCAATAGATATTTGTCAAGATTACCCTAGAGTGTATGAGTCTAAATTTTTATTCTTTACTATTGATTAATATTCTTTTAACTAATATAATTATTTAACTCAAATCTTTTTAACCAATTTGAGTTAAGAATTCAAATTTTATTACAGTAAAAAACTCTCAGAAACAATCACACTTAACTTTTTTATTGGAGTAAAAATACTTTCATATAAAATCATATCATTTATTTTCTTTCCCTTTGAATAACGCATGTTTCGGCCGGCGGCCCCTGGCCCATCTCTTCGAAGCAACAGTAACTGCAACCATTGTAATGTAATGTGATATGGAAAGGGAAGAAAGGGGAAAGGTCGAGAGAAAAAATAGAATAGAAAAACGTCAATTGACTTTTGATCGAATAAAAGTGAGAAATCTGGCCCCGTTCTTTTCGCTGATTCGAATTTAGAATTCGAGTTTTGCTACAGTAAAAAGCTCTCAGAAACAGTCACATCTAATTTTTTTACTACAGTAAAAAAACTCTCACACAACATCACATCTCAACTCGAATTAAAAACTCGAATTAGCAAACCGAACGGGTTGGAAAAAGATTAAAGGAGAGAGAGAGCAAAACATGAATTGACGTTTGCTTACATAAAAAAGACAGAAAACAATTCGCATAGATTAGTATCAACGTCATTTTGCTTGCCCAATTTTAAGCCTCTATAGTTTTTTTCTTGTTTTAATTTTGGAATATTAGAGTTTCAATTGGAGATGTTACTCGCAAGAAAATAGGAAGAAAAAAAAATGGTTTACAAATAAATTTCCCAGCGTCCATTCTTCAAAAATGATTTGTTATGGATTTTATGTAGATATTCATGGGATCTACACAAGCAACTATTAAAAATCAATGAATGACTGACAAGGAAATTTCGCATCACTAGAGTGACTCTGCTTGGTTGGTACTTGGTAAGAATGAAAACGAAAATGCAAACAGATAGATACATAGATTAGGATATCTTTTATGTTGAATGACAACCATGAATCATGTGAAAATATAGGAATAATCCACGTATTCTAGTCCGCATCATTGTGTATCTTAGCTTAGGCTAGTTCATACGACCGGACTTCAAAAAGAATTAACAAAAAAAAAAATAGAGGGCGATGACATTGAAAGTTGACGTGCGGACTTCGATAGAACAACAATTCGGATTCGGTTGGATAACCACAAGACTCCTACGGTGTGTAATGACAAGAAGAAAATACTGCCACAAAGTGGTTTTTCTTTTTTTTTTTTTTTTTTTTTTTGGGTTGAAGAAAAAAAGTGGACTCGATACTGGGTTTATTTGCACCAAAAACAAGAACTTTATACTAGGTTTATAATATCGACCCATATAAACAGATTTTATATCGAGACAGTCCTTTTTCATCGGAGAGATGGGATTTTGGTTGTAATGGCATCATCATTTAAAATAGAGCAAATGGTGGACCATTAATCGCCCAAGAGTGATTGGGAGTAATTGAAAAAAAAAAAAAAAGAATCAATGAGGTTGGAAATTTCCAATTTATTACAATGACACACGGCAAGGAAGCCTTCAAGAAGCTCTTCACCTTATATAGTTGCCTCAACTTTGGATTAACAAGCAAATGCGTCTATATCAAACCTAATAATATCAAGCCCAAATATATCATTTGGAGTAAAGTAACAGAAAATAATAAAAAAAAAATGATGGTAGTGGTAACAATAAAAATGTACATAAAAGAAAAAAAAACCTCACTCAGTGTCATATATATATATATATATATATAGAAAGAGAGACTCCCAGGGACTTGCGTGGATAAACCAAGGCACCATTCAAGAAGAAGCTGGAGTGCAAAGCTAAAGTAGCTTGCTGCCAGTCAAGTAAAAGATCAACTATTAACTCCAATTTTTCTGTTAGACTGGTCACCGGCCACTATTTCCCGCTTTCGCATATGATCAGATCAGTCTTTCACCTCTGCCATTTTCTCTCTGAATGACGCGAAATTCAAGTTATCAGTAATCTTTGTCATAGCGTAAAGCTCGTAAAAACATTAAGCAAATACTACTTTTCTAAACCAGTGAGAGGAAATCAAAACATTACGCAAATAAAAAATAGCAGGAAAACACAACTAAACATGCATGAAGTTCAGAAAATCTGAAAATGTGATTGCCAAGCATGCATACCATTAGTCTTTGCACCCTGCTGCGCTTGAGACATCGACCTTTGGATGCGTGGAGACCCCTGCCTTCCATTTGCTGCACCTGGCAAAGAATGTCTCTTTTTGATGTAAATCTCTCTGTCTTGGACATCAGGACTGGATCTTGGAGAGTTATTTGCATTGGCCTTTGCTCGAGCTGATTCCGTCGCCTGCATAAAGTGGGGGAGAGAACTGTTGCTGCTGCTATCTCGAGGTTCTTGCTCACAATTTTCAGGTTTTGTTGAACCGAAGGAATCGCGTCGCTTTCCATTTTTCTGTTCTTTAGGCAATTTTTCCACGCTATTTCTTGAGCCAGAATCGTGATTTGGGTTTGAGGGTGATTTCTTAGTAGCAGACAGAGACCCGCGTTTCTGGTCAGACCCACTCTTGTCAGGTTTATTTTTTCGGTCTTTTGCTGAAACCTGACTAACAGGTGTCCCTTGGGATTCAGCAACAGTCAGATGACTTCTTGGAGAAGCTTCTGGAGATAACACATGGGCTTGGACACTTGTTTCAGGCCGCTGCTGTTCCCTCTGAAACTCATACGATTTCTTCTCTGGCTTCAGCTCTATCTGCGGTGAATCCACAGAAACCACAGAGCTAACGAACTCTCCATTTGCAACATCAAGTTTCTCTTGCTGATCAAGAAGTGTGGGAGATGAGGAAGACTTTACGACTGTGGGAACATCCTTTGCCTCAAGATCTAGATTTTCCTCATCGTTACTAGGATTGCAAATTCCTTCCTCTGAAGCTTTGGCTTCATGCTCATGTTCAATAGCTCCAATATCTGATCTATCCGGAGAATCAAGCGTGGAAGTGACAGAAAGTTCAGTGCCACACTCAGAGCCACCAAGTTGAATTCTTGATCCATGAACTGGACTTTCTGCTATGCCTATCTCCTTTGTCCTGATTATGGATTGTGTCTCAAATGAGATATCCTTGTGTGATTCACCTCCAGATTCTTGATAGGATGAATTCATCATCCAACCTGGATTGACCGCTGAACTCAGCTCTTCAAATTTTGACTGGGCAGTGATAAATGAAGGATTACTTGTCTTCTTTGATCCACAAACAAATTTCTTTGCCTCCGACTCCATCTCCAGTTCTTCTGAGGCAAGTCTCTTCATTGAACGCTTTGGTTGTTCAGGCTCCTCAGAAAGAGGTTTGTGCTCCGCTTGACAATCCACATCTGGCTGCGTCTCTTGATTTTGAAGAGAATTTGTCTCTGCTGAGGACTCTTTAACGTAAGGTGTGCTTGTGTTCTCAATCCTAGGCTGCTCCAAATTATCTACAATTGAGGAAGTGGTAGAAGGGTAGGCCTGAAATTCGAATTTGTCTGCTTCATAAGTGATCAGATTGTCTTCACTTTCAGATGGCACAGCTGATTCATGGACACTACTGGACTTTGAATCCACTGACTCACAAATGATTTCAGATTCTACATTGGTTCCCAATAGAGACTCGGAATTTTCTTTCTTTTTTCCTTCCTGATGCTCTGTGACTGACTCTATTTTCTTCGACTCTGCAGCATTCACTGATGAGACCGACATCCACCTCTCCAACCATTTCCAAGCAGAATCAGGTTTAGAAGGGTCACATTTAACGTTGATACGTTTGGCCTTTGGAGTTGATTCTAAAAGCTATAATCAAATAATAAACCAACCAATCAATATATAGGCACGTGAGATATATAGCCTAAAACATACTTGCAAAACAAAAGACAGAGAAATGTCAACTGTACCTGGTGGGCAAACCTATTGCTAAGGAGCTTCTCAGTGCTAGCTTTTACGCCACTCGATTTGTTCACTGCATTTTCTTGCTTCTGAAACATGAAAAATGGAGGGTAAAATGTCAGAATAGGAAATAAATGTTTTCCCATCTAATACCTTGTGCAATGGAATTTGAGGTAAAGTGAACTCCACAAGTGAACAAGAACAAAGAACGGAGGGAGTTTTATCCAAACCTGATTTACAATATAGCCATCACTAATAGCACCATGACAACAAGTAAAAGCACTTAATACAAGCAAATTTGAACTCCCGGGAAAATCCCAAGGGTGACATCTAACCTTTGCCAATGTCAAGTATCTGGGCCTTACGTCTCTTTTAAGTACTAGTAAATGAGACCTATGGAGAAGCTAAACGCCTCCAAAGGCTTCCATATATATTTTTTTTTTCCAGTTTCTTCCTATTCATAAGCCCATATACAATGCAATTAAGGAAGACGGAAATTTGAGTTATTACCTTCCCATCTGACTTTTGACGTGATCCTTCTAGAGATAGCCGAGCATGTCGAGCACGAACAAGAGCTTGCATTTTCACTATGGCCTGGACACACCGTAAAGTTCCTACGGCATGCCTACGGACAATATGACCTCGAACTGCAGCTTGCAACTTAACTACATTTTTTAGCTTTAGCAGTGCTCTTTGAGCCTGGTAAAGAATTTGACCAGAAATCAGTTCAAATGGCTACTATGCGTTCAGTTTTATGCTGGAATAAATATAATAGAAAAAGTACCAAGAAGCCTCTAACAGCAGTCTGGATAGCAATGACAACAGACTCCTCAATTTTGGCATCAGTCTCATTTTCATTTCCAGTTTCTTGTTCATTTTCAGTCTCATTTTCATTTCCAGTCTCTTTTTCATTTCCAGCCTCCTTTTCATTTCCAGTCTCATTATCACTTTCAGCAGTAACTACTGCGTCTGGTACTTCTGCTTTCACTGTTGTTATCAACTGGGGTTTCTCATCACTGCAATGCACCACAGAGATTTTCTCTTGAGCAGAGTTGTCAGCTGGCTCTCCAAAGTTAACATTGGCAGATTCCGAGCCCTCCTTATTTCCAAAAGTGGGGACGGGGGTTTCCGTGATCACAGTGTTGCTCAGCACTCGATGACGTGCAGACCTCTTGCGAAAACTCCACCCACGTTTATCACTTGAACCCTTGCTCTATAACAAATTCAACATTAATTAGCATACACCAAACATGAACAAAGAAAACACGTAATTACTGATCTTTTTACAAACAAATAACAACAACAACAAATACAAGCCTTAATCTCAAATTAATTGGGGTCGGCTATATGGATTTCTCGTTTCCAGTCTGCTCTAGTAAACATAAGACCCTCCTGAAGTCCTAGATCTTGAAAGTCGTGGCTAACTACGTTAGCCCAAGTAATTCTTGGTCTACCCCTCGCTCTCCTAGTACTAGGTATTTAGATGTTCTCCTAAGCACGAACAGGTGCATCTAACAATCTACGTTGTACATGCTCGTACCACCTCAGACGGTTTTCCCGCACCTTATCTTCTATTGGTGCTACACCTACTTTACTACGAATAACTTCATTCCGTATGCGATCCATCCTCATATAGCCGTTCATCCATCTTAACATACGCATCTCCGCCACACTCATCTTGTATATTTGTTGTCTCTTGATGGCCCAACATTCACTACCATATAACATAGATGGGCGAATTGCTGTCCTATAGAATTTTCCTTTCAACTTAATAGGCATCTTATTATCACATAAACCTCCCGTGACATTCTTCCACTTAACCCACCCCGTATTAATCTTATGTCCAATATCCTCATCTATATCCCCTTCACACTGCACAATTGACCCAAGGTACCTAAATTTCCTAGAAGCCCCAATCACCACACCATCCAATGAAATTCCATCACTCTGATCTCTCAAATTACCAAACCTACAATGCATGTACTCAATCTTAATTCTACTTAACTTAAATCCCTGCGCCTCAAGGGTCTGTCTCCATCGTTCTAACTTACGGTTAATTCCCTCCCAATGTTCATCAACTAAAACTATATCGTCTGCAAAAAGCATACACCAAGGAATCCCATCTTGAATTTCTCTTGTCAACTCATCAATCACGATAGTGAAAAGATAAAGACTAAGAGCGGAACCTTGATGAAGGCCAATCCGAATGGGAAACTCTTCCATGTAGCCTCCAATAATTCTCACACTTGCGACAGCTCCATCGTACATATCCTTTATTACCTTGATATACCTCATATGCACTCCTCTCTTCTCTGCCCTATCATATGCCTTTTCTAAATCTATGAAGACCATATGCAAATCTTTCTTAGCTATTCTATACTTTCAATCAACGTCCTAAGAAGAAAAATAGCCTCCATGGTTGATCTTTTTACCAAATTACCTAAAAAATACCTTCATTATGACGACAATACTTTTTAGTACCAGCGTCATGGAACCATAAAATAAGCACATAAATAACTGAGTTTGCATGAAGAGAAGATAATAACGTTATGCAGGCATCCCTTTAAAAGAGACACGTTATATTTGTGTTGACATGTTCTAGTGATAAACCAAGTTTGCGTAATTAGAAATGATAATAATTTTTCTTCTTTTTTTTTTTTTTTTTGCTGACATTAATAATTCGAATGTTTCGCGTCCATATCAACCACCACAAAAATGAATCATAGCATTTAGATAATTTGGACTGTTTTATGATTAAGGGATATGGTGATGATTTGTGACTTTCCGTACAACTGGCATTACTATAAGGCTTATCTTCTTACCTTTTAACTTTTTGAAAGCTTCTTTTTAAAATTATCAAAAGAAAATAACTTGGAAATTTGAGATTTACACCAAAATACACAGATTTAATATAATAGATCCTTAATCATGCACTCCATTTAGAACTCAACTTTCTGTTAATATCACCGCCAAAACGAAAACGTTTCATTTTTCTTTGTCTGTTTGATGATACAAAGTGTTTCAATTTATACGAATAATCATATTCTAGATTCTTAAATTCTTACTTCGTCACCGAACAGTAAACAAAAGCAACGTACCAAATCCCAAAAAAGAAAGAAAGAGAGAAAATAACTACACTTCCAATTACTTCTTTTGATGAATCAAATAAATTTTGTTCAGTAAAGATCAACTAAGACAAAAAATTCCACTCAATCACATGGTCGCATTCAAACTCCGTTCAGTAAAGATCCTGAACTCCTCAGATCTTTTGATGAATAAAAAAAACTACTAAAATTTTTCAAAACTCCCTTTTTTTCATCGTTTCCATACACAGCATTGCCGATTCCAAGTAAGCCCACCAAGCATTTGGCAATTCGATAATTAAAACCCAAAAATTTAAGCAAAAATGCAAATCAAAACACATTTTATTTCAAAAAAAAAAAAAAAAAGAAAGAAAGAACCAGTAAAAACAAATACCTCAATGGTTTCGAGATCATCCTTGTTCGCGGAATCGCCACCGCATGTGATAATTTTGAAACAAGAAGTAGATTTTCCCATTTTTTGGTTTTTTTTTTTTTTTTTTTTTTTTTTTCCCCCTCCCCAGTTTTCCCTTTTTTTTTTTTTTTTTTTTTTTTTTTTTTTTTTTTTTGCCACTGACCAGTAGTTTCTTCTCTCTCTCGGACCTCACTTACTCGAAGACAAAAACCGTCTATGTAGGTGAGAAGCGTTGGAAATTGTAGACAACAAAAAAAACAAAAAACAAAAAACAAAAAAAAAAACAAAAAAACAAAAAAAAAACTCAAGAACCCGGATCTCAACAAAGTCCTTAAATCCAGTTAATTCCCCACGTTGGAATCCGCCATTTATCAACCCCGTTGAACTTTACGGCCTGTCCGTTGGGAGAGAAGAGAGAGTGGGTGACAAATATTTTCATGAAAGCCTGTCAGATCTCTTTAATAATTTTTTTTATATATAAATTACAATAGATAAAATAAAAAGTTTGTGGAAATAATAATATTTTATCCAACCGTTGAAATCGCGAGACGACAATATACCTGCGAGAAATTTGCTGGCGTTTTATCAATTAAAGTATCGAGCGGATTAGCAAAAAATATTATCGAGCGGGACCGTTGTATCTAATCTAAATCATGTGTTTTTGTGCTAATCAGAGTCAGGAGCTTATCTATTGCCTTGATTTTTTGTCTTGGTATAGATAGGCCATCTGTAATAATGTTAACTTTGGCATAGGATGACAAAACTTTATTCTACGTGTCGCAAATCCTTTTAGACTTTGTGATTTACATTATCATTAACTTTTTTTTTTTTTTTTTTTTTGCTGATCTACATTATCATTAACTTGAAGACTTTTTCTGAAACAAAAAAAAAAGGTTAAAACTTGTATTAAAAAAAAAGGAAGACTTAGCCAACATTAGTAAACAACTTATCACTTAACTTTATTTATACTTCTAACTCAAAAAGTAACTCATTCTAATTATTATAATAAAAAAAGAGGATTTAAAAATCCTAGGTAACTGATCAATTTGTTAAAAATTTAAGTTAGTGATTTTGATTCTGCATTTAAATTTTATGAAAGAACTTATTGATAAAATTTTTAAATTTTAAATTTTTATGAGAAAAAATATTGTAACATAATTAAAACTATAAATTTAAACTTATAAATCATGAATTTGAATGAACTTAAAAAATTTCAGATTCGGTGTAGTGTTGAAACTTTGGACGGGCCGCTATCGACCACCGAAAACTCTAAATTTTTACCCGATGACCGAGCCCACCCGAGCCTGAATTTTCGGGTTGCCCAAGCCCGCCCGAGTTGCCCGAATTTTTTTTAATATTTTTTATATATTTATATATTATTATATGTATTATATATATATATTATATATATATTATATATATAATTTTGTTTATTAATTGTATATAGTATGTATATAAATGATTTTTAAGTTTTTATTGTAAAAATTATACAAAAATTATAAGGGATATTGCAATTTGAAATTTAAAATGAACACGAGCTATATAAAAAAAATTATTTATTTATTAATTTTTAAATTTATAATTCATTATTGCCTCATTAAAAACCTTACCAAGAAAAATTCAATTGGGATAAAAACTTGGTAAGGAAAAAAGAGTGCAATCATTGTGGGACGAATTACAAATTTAACGAACTTATAAAGTCTATACAAGATTACAATAACATTGTACAAAGTAAATAAATATTTACAAATTACAATAATAGAATTTAATTTGAAGCTGAAGGGCCGTCTTGAAAATTAAAAGTTAATCTATTAAATTCATCGATCCATTCTTGACTTGCCGGTGAAATTGTATCGTATAAGCGTTGGTCAGAACGATCACAATCTTTAATGCACATCAAAGCTTCAACAATGTCTTGTTGCAATGTGTTTCTACATTCCTCAAGTATTCGGCCGGTCGTACTGAAGGTTTGTTCGGATGAAATAGTGAAGACTGGGATTGAAAAAATATCTATTGCCAGTCGAGTTAGGATCGGCCAAGTTAATGCTCGTGCCCTCCACCACTGAACCAAATCAAACATTTCACTATTGTCGACAACTAAGCCTAAAACTCAGGTACGTCATTAACTTGTTGAAGCCGCTGATGTTGCCGCCACCTCTTGATGAAGATCCACTCCCAGATTCTTCTTGACCTTGAGTCGTCATCGTCGTCGTCTTCTTCTTCTTCAATCCGAAAATATTCAAGAATGAATGCGGATTGTCGTCTTGTTGTTGCGGTTCTTCTACACGAGTGTGTTTCTAAACCTACTTTTATAAGAGCTATAGAGAGATAATATTTTTCCTTTATAATAGGAAATTGGTCAGAACAGTCAATATCTAAAAAGTCACCTAAGTTTTCCAATCCACTTTCTAAATCATCTAATTTTAATCTAGGATAAAAAATAACACCGAAACCATACAACATTGATAATTTAGACCAATATTTTTTAAACTTCTTTTTCCATAGAAGCGATAGGTGTTGGGAATGGTGTCCTAGAAGCATAAGATGTAATAGAATATTTATTATTTATTTAATAAAAGAGTTTATTCATCAATTTTATGTGTATATATTTGTGAATATTTTATGAATATCAATGAAAATTTCATGATTATTTATGTAACCTTAAACATTGTATATAAGTGTTATATACGAGAGGATAATGTTTAAGGATAATAATCAAAAAGC